AGTGCTGAGGGAGCGCCGCACTGTCGGAGGGTCAGTGCTGAGGGAGCCTCCATCCAAACCTTCCTCCCCCTCGGGCTCTGTCTGCAATCAGTGTCCTTCTGGTTCCTGACCCCTCCTGTCCCTGGGAACAGTTCCTCCTGATTCACTCCGTCCAAACCCCTTCTTCCCCTACCGCGAGGTACAAACGCCTCGATTCAATCTCCCCCCAACCCTCCCTGTTCCAGGGGAGAACTATCCTGGACTCTCCACATTCACTCATTCCCGTCATTCTGGGTTTGGGGGACTGGGGGGGGCGAACAGTGCGAGTAAATCTCCCTCTATACCCCCTCCAGGGGCACTGACATCCTTCCTAAAGGGATGGGGGAGGAGACAATGACCCCTCCAGGATTTTACCCTGGGGTTTATTGTGAGGTGTTCTCTTGTGTACCCGATACCCCTACTTCAGAAAGCCTGGAATGGTACTGACAGCACAAAAATACTCTCTCCAACACCCCCAGCTCCCTCCCCTCTCCCCCCAGCTCCTTGTGTTGGTTTCTCTATCACCCCCATTCTGCATTTTATGTTCTGAAGCATCCAAATGGAGAATTTGCTCTCTTCAAATCCCACGCCCACACACAGCACAGGCCCAGAGCTCTGGCATTTCCTGGAGGAGGTCAGGATGGGGGGGGGGCGGGAGTCGGGGGGGGGCAGTTGCGGGGGTGGGGGGGATGTGTCTGAAAACCACAACATCTGGAAGTAATTAACATCTCGAAGACGAAGGAGTGTTTATTCAGGCAGACGTTGGCCATTCCTCGTCGCAGAGCAAGCGAGAGAGAGGGAGAGAAGGAAAGATGACCAGGTTTCTCCTGTTTGCTCTGCTCCTGGGCCCAGCGCTCGTGGCCCCTCAGCAGATCCCGAACATCACCAGGTAAGGGCAAATCCTGGGAAACTCTGCCCTGGCAGGGCTCCCCGGGGGAAATGGGAGCCCGGGATTAGGCCTGGATTGGTGACTGGGCTGTTTCTCTGACACATCCTCCTCCGGCACATCTCCCTCCAGCACCCCCAGACCTGGGTAGCAGTCACTGCCCCTATGTGGGGGCACCTCCTTTACCCCCAAACCACAAACCCCTCCGGGGGGGGTTGGGGAAAGGGGAATGATCCTCCAGTTTAGCAAATGTAAGACGAGGGAGAGTGTGACAGGAGGGAGAGTGTAACAGGAGGGAGTGTGTGTGACAGGAGGGAGAGTGTGTGTGACAGGAGGGAGAGCATGTGTGACTAGAGGGAGTGTGTGTGACAGGAGGGAGAGCATGTGTGCCAGGAGGTAGAGTGCGTGTGACAGGAGGGAGAGTGTGTGACAGGAGGGAGAGTGTGTGTGACAGGAGGGAGAGCGTGTGTGACAGGAGGGAGAGCGTGTGTGACAGGAGGGAGAGCGTGTGTGACAGGAGGGAGAGCGTGTGTGACAGGAGGGAGAGCGTGTGACTGGAAGGAGAGTGTGTGACAGGAGGGAGAGTGTATGACAGGAGGGAGAATGTGTGACAGGAGGGAGAGTGTGAGAGTACAGGTTAGGCTCAGAGTTAGGGTGAGAGTGTGAAAAGTAAGTGTGCAAAGAGCGAGTATGCAGAAGGGTGTGTAAAGGAGAGAGTGTATGAGGGGGCATTTATTGAGGCTTGAGTTTGCAAGAGGTGAGTGTAAATTAAGCAAAGTGTGTGAGAGACGAATGTGCAAGATGTGTGCACAAGGGATGGGTGTGCGTGGAGTGTGTGGGCAATAGGTGAATGTACAAAGGGGTGAGTGTGTGCAGGGGGTGTATGAGGGGAGTGTACAAGGTATGTGTGTGCAAGATGTATGTGTGTGAGGGGTGGGTGTACAAGGGTGTTGGTGTGCAATGAGTGAGGGTGAGTGTAGAGGGTGAGTATGCAAGGGGGTTAGAGAGAGCGGTGAGTGAGTAAGGGGGTGATTGTGTGTGCAGAGTGTGTACAGGGGTGAGAATGAGTGTACAAAGGGTGAATGTGTGTGTGAGTATGAGGGGTGAGTGTGTGTGTGACGGGTGTGAGGGTGAGTGCGTGGGGGTGAGTGTGTGTGTGGGTGGTGTGAGGGTGAGTGTGTGTGTGAGGGGTGTGAGGGTGTGTGTGGGAGGGTGAGTGTGTGTGTGGGAGGGTGAGTGTGTGCGCGAGGGTGAGTGTGTGTGTGAGTGTGTGGGAGGGTGAGAGTGTGGGAGGGTGAGTGTGTGTGTGAGGGGTAGGAGGGTGAGTGTGTGGGAGGGTGAGAGTGTGTGTGAAGGTGAGTGTGTGTGAGGGTGAGTGTGTTTGGGAGGGTGAGTGTGTGTGTGAGGATGAGTGTGTGTGCGAGGGTGAGTGTGTGTGAGCGGTGTGATGGTGAGGGTGAGTGTGTGTGAGAGTGAGTGTGTGTGAAAGGGTGAGTGCATGTGAGGGTGTGTGCGCGCGAGGGTGATGGTGACTGTGTGTGTGTGTGTGTGTG